AAGCACAGCAGAGCTGCAAATAAAGAGAGGACATTGAACAAGTCCTCACTTTACATCAAATACCTCACTTTGATAGTAACCATGTCACAAATGGTCCTCACTCTGTAGTAAAAACAAGTACGTGCACACACACATCATCAGGCATGGTCTCAGGTTGTTTTCTGCAAAAAGGTCTGACCTGCTGTCAGTGTTTTTACAATAGCAACATATTTTCATTCAACACAAACAAATGAGATTTAAAGGCCCCTCTGTGTGTTTTCTTCTCCTCACGCTGCGAGATGAAGCGGGACTGATGTAGATCTCTGCTCCACAGGAAAGCACTACGGCGTGTACAGCTGCGAAGGCTGCAAAGGCTTCTTCAAGCGCACTGTCCGTAAAGATCTCACCTACACGTGTCGAGACAACAAAGAGTGCCTAATAGACAAACGCCAGCGGAACCGCTGCCAGTACTGTCGCTATCAGAAGTGCCTGGCCATGGGCATGAAGAGAGAAGGTAAATGTGAAGGTGTAAAAAAATTTATAAATAAACAAAATAAACTTCGGTCTAGGACATCTAGAAGTGATGTTATTTTACTTGTAGTAACTTTTGCGCGGGTTTGGTTTTAAAACTTTTAACACTTTGGGTCTTTACAAATTACCTAATTACTTTGTGAGGTCCCCATTATTAAAAAAAGAAACATAAATTAGAGTCAAACTTTGWATAAATATTAGCTATTGCTGCTTAGATACACTGATTATCAGTTGTACAAATACGTATAGTCCTGTATTCAAACCTGCGTCAACATGGAGTAGCTCAGWGTAATCTGTTATTATCTAATTATGATGGGTCGTGAAATTATGCAAAACYGTCAGTATTTTACTTTGGAGCACATCAGGTTTTAGGCTCCTACTCACAATTATTTCTATTGTTCCATTCATGGTTTCATTTTAAAGAACACARATGCAAAACCCAATTTTGTAGCCATTAAACACATTTTCCGTAGATATCTTTAGAATCTGTTTGGGTTATATCAACCCATTCAGTTTTTTWAACTATTTGGTCWAATTATTTGCAATGGAACTTTTAAATAAGGTCTAGACCAACTACAAATTAGTGGTCTTTATTGTCCTCTGGCTCTGGGTCAGACTCTGACTCCAARATGTAAGACTGGATGAACAAGTCTTCTCTTGWTGARATCTTTTAATTCATTTGTAAATAACATTTTRTYTGCCGCTATATAGTCATYAAKRCCTCTAACAATGTAGAATGGACCAGTCTGGAAGCTGGAGGGGGCGGGGCYTGGAGTGCCTTGTTTGGATTTAAAGAGYCAGCCTCAAAATGAGTTGATCTCAGTCACACCTCAGAAAAGAGGGATGAAAGAGGGGCTTGTYGAGTTACAATAGGGAGGAAWTCAGACCAAAGCYTTGCAGTTCCACTTTATATAGACACCAACTGAATGATTTAAATGCGTCAAAGAAGGCTTTAAAAGCAGCAATTTTAAGCTTCTGTTACCCCYAGATGCTGCCAATCAGGTGCTCTCTATAAGATTTCTTGCCAAGAAGCTTAACAAAACAGAAAAAAAAACAAATTTCTTTACTTTTCCTGCTAACCTAAGATCAGATTATGTGTACACATTATTGTTGTAAATAATGTTAAAAATAGTGAACAAATAACAGTTGGAAGGATTAAAAACAGTCAAATGAAGTTATTTTTTGTGAAAATGAATGGCATAATAACAATGATCAGTTACTTTTCCAATTAAGTATTTTAGCTAGTTTTAACTTCAATATATTTGAATCAGAAGCACAAAATGCTATTGAGTGTAGGATTTGCAACACTTTGTAAAGTTACTAATTGTGCAATACAGATCATTTTATGAGTGTCAAAATACAAATTTGAATGACTTTTGTCATTAAATCTCGTCAGTTTCTTCCTGAAAATACTTACCAGATGAATGTGTGACAGATTGTTTACCTTTTCATGTTGCCAGCGGTTTTATGCACTCAACAATTTTTTTCTCATTTAAGTTATTGTGTAACTTCTTGATCTGAAGCAGCAGCTACAACCATCGAGCCTTTATCTTTATCTTTATTTATTTAACAGGGATAATACATACAAAAACATAGAACAGATTAAGTCTGTACCTGATGCGTTGCACAAAGAGTATATAGCTACAGCTAATTTAGTTTAGTTTAGTTTAATTCATTTATTCATTTCATTTAAAAATAAAAATAAAAATTTTATACACAAAAAAAATCACACTTAAAATGAAAGGAGGCAGAAGAAGAAAAAAAATCTTATATCTGCCCCATTTTTCCTAAATTAATTTCAAGCAATGATAATCAAGAAACAAAACAAAATAAAAACTTCAATTCATTTTCTAACAACAACTTTTGATATACATTATACAGTTTCATATTTCTTTAAGAAACTTGTTTTTATCATTCTCTTAAACAAACACATTGAACCAACATTTTTATCACTTTCCAGATTATTCCACAATCTTATTCCTTGAACTGAAGTGCATCGATCCTTCAAATTTGTTCAAATTTTAGATTTTATAAACATCTCAAGTCTATTAAGACCATATAAACTTTCTCTCTTAACAAAACATAACTGGATGTTTAAAGGTAAAAAATTTTTTCATGAGCCTTATACATAAATTGCAAGATGTTATAATCAACCAACTCATAAAATTTTAATAATTTCAATTTACAAAATAATATATTTGATGGGTGACAGTAATGTTTTCTGGTGATAATTCTAATGGCTCTTTTCTGTAAAATAAAAATAGGATTTGTGATTGTTTTGCACTCTTTACTCCTTCAACACAGTAAAATCAAGTGTAAAACAATTATTMTATTATACAATATAAACAGTGCTTTATCATTAAATAAGTCATTTACTTTGTATAATACTGCAATGATTTGGCTATTTTTGTTCTTAAATGATTTATGTGGGATTTCCATGTTAGGTAATTTGCAACTCCAGTCCCTGGTTGGGCATTTCTACACAAATAAAATGCATACTGTACAGTTTGTACATCCATATACACAAAAAATACATAAGCATGTCTGCCAACAAATTCATAAAATCAACCAATACAACTTACAAATTAATGCAATAAGAATTATAAAAAAAAAATCATACTGAACATTAAAATACATAAAAGTTAGAATTCTAAAACAAAACAGTTCAAATAACCTTAGAACCTTTAAAATTAACTAAACACATCCTCAGGTACCTCTCCATCCTCTCACATTTAGCTAACATACTAAATATTATTAATATAATACTAACTCACTAACACATACAGTCCCACACAGACTGTTCTCATCTAAATACTAAAAAATGATCACATCTTTGATTTTCCTTTAACCAAGATTTAGTCATGTGGATGAATTTTTTTAATTCAAGCGTAGCTTTAAAGGTAGTCTGACCAAACGAGGTTCTACATAGGGGAGTTATACAGTTCTGTTGTAATGAATGCCTCTAAGAATAAAATTAACAGAGCAGTTAAGATCTTGAACAAAAAAAAAACCATCAGATCACATCACTGTCATCTTCTGAAAACGTATGATGACTTTTGAAAACGTTGTGAAATTCTCCAATTCAAACTTGTTTTAAATTCTTAAATGGACAGGCTCCTCTAGTGCTCACACGTGTCCCTWTACAAATACACAATAAACAAAGTGAAGTAATGATTTTGAAGGACAACATTTTCAGCTTTACAATTGTATGCTTTAATCACTCTTCTTGCCTCTAGTGAGAACTTTTTTTTTCTTTTAGACCAACTGTAGAGCAGAATCACGCCTTCAGTGATGCGAACACCTGCAGTACTGCTGCTATGTGATGACACCTAGGAAAGGATGTCAAACATACTGTGCCCGACCTGATGTGTCTGTGTTTGTGTGTGCTCCTGTGTGTGTGGGTGTGTGCGTGCAGCTGTGCAGGAAGAGAGGCAGCGTGGGAAGGAACGTGGGGAGAATGAGGTGGAATCTACCAGCAGTTTCAACGAGGAAATGCCCGTGGACAAAATCCTGGACGCTGAGCTGGCCGTGGAGCCCAAAACAGAAACCTACAGCGATGGCAGCCCTGGAAACTCTGTAAGAATCTCACATCACTAAGATCATAAACGAAAAAAAAACTATAACAACAGTTTTTGCTTTTTTATTTCTGAGAGCAGATGTAAGGCTAATGTCTGACAATCATATAAGGCAGCTGTTCTGAAACGTTTTAGCTTTTGATCTGCAAAATAAAAGTTGCAGAGACTCGTGACTCCAACTGTCGCTGGTTGAAGTGAACAAACATTACCATCATCATTATTCATCCATTTATGATCACTGCTTTTATGTTTGTATCAGGTAAAGGGAGAGTCGAGGCATTTTTGAAGTGATGTTCTGTCAAATAGTCATCACAAGTAATGAGAATCTGTCAGTCAGCTGGGAGCAGAGTAAACTTGAGGTCTGAGTGATGCGTTCACCACCATCAGCAAACACACGGTGTGTTTACAGTATGCTCAGCACACATACGTTAACGTGGTAATAAGGACGTTGCTCAGTCGAGAAAACAGCAACAAACTTATCAAACGGTGTCACGCAGACCTGTAGAGGTTTAATCTCAGCTGATCCTTCGCACCAGGGTTTTATTTTTGAGAAAGAGTTGAAAATAAGTCTTAAAAATTATTTTAAAAAACAAGCCTCTTTTTCTATATTCTGTGCTGCAGATGCAAAATTGGTGGCAGTGTAACAGTTTATAATAGAAAAACGTTTAAACGACCCTAATGTAATGTTTGGGATCCGAGTTGTTTTAATGGGATCTACGAGTTGTGACATTAAACATTATTTGATAAACATTTGCTTCATCTATAAAAAGAAAAATTTAAAAACACTGTAGGCTGTTTAGTTTTCATAAATTAAAAAAATATATTGTCACACGGATGTCGCCATGTTATTTACGGCGCAAAGCATTCTGGGTAAATGATGATGCTTTACTAATTTCTCAAGTTCTATTCAGCTTGYACTGTAATTTTGGACAAAGTCTGACATTCAGCCTTTATAAATGAAACTGGAGTGCATTGACAGAGAGGTGAATGTAGAAATGACTCAGCCTGATACTGAAAAATGATGATGGAGGACAATAGAGCTGTGTTATGGAAGGGGAACCTCAATTTTGGCCTTTCAGCTTTCACATTAGCTCCCGAGTTAGAATGTATATATGGTATTAGCTCCACCTCTGTATATTTATGGCAATATATGGTGTTAGCTACCGAGCTAATACATGTGAAAATTATGGTGTTAGCTCCCAAGATAATATATATGACAATAAATGGTGTGAGCCAATATATATGGAGATTTATAGCATTAGCTCCCAAGCTAATTAGTATATAAATAAATATAATATATAAAATATAATAAACAGTGTTAGCTTCCGAGCTAATACATAGTAAATGGCAACATATGGTGACACCATATATTTTTTAGTAATATGGCAATTTGTTTGTTTTTTTTCTTTTTGACTCAAGAGATAATTTATTAAAAATCACATTTGATCATTTCAATCAGTATATTGTTCAGAATATAGAAACAAATACAAAATATAGAATTATTATCACACATTAGCTTTTTAGCCTTGATTCTTTGTGTTTTAATCTCAACTGTAAGCAATCATCATTATCCCCAGAATGCTTTGTGTCGTTAAAAAATATGATTGACATGCTTAAAGGAACACTGTGTAGGATTTTGTCAAGTCTTTTAGCCGAAATTGAGATAATCACTAATGACAATAATAAAAAACATGTCTAATCATTGCAGACAAAGACCTTGTTTTATTATTTTTACCTTATAAAAAGCTGTTTATATCTCCATGGTCGCGGGTCACCACTACAGCTGCCATCTTCCACCGCCATCTTGTCTATGAAGGCTCATGAAGGACAAACTGCGGTGGCGGCATCAAAAACTTTTTTTTTTCCTCTAACTC